TTTTTTTTTTTTTTTTTTTTTTTTTTTTTTTTTTTCTGTTCTCTATTTTGGACATCTGTGCTGTAATATTTATTATTTCCTTCCTTCTGTTAGCTTTATGTTTAATCTGTCCTCCTTTTTCTGATTCCTTCAGGTGTAAATTTAGGTTGTAGATTTCTTTCTTTTCTTTTAGCATAAGCATTTCACAGCTATATATTTTCCTCTTAATACTATTTCACTGCACCCCATACTTTTATGTTATGTTTTCTTTTTAATTTTCCTCAAAGTATTTACTAATTTTCCTTGTGATTTATTCTTTGATTCATTGGTTGTTTAAGAATATGTCATTTAGTTTTCATGCATTTGTGGATTTTTTAGCTTCTCTTCTCTATTGATTTCTAGTTTCATTTCATTGTGATTAGAAAACATACTTTGAATGACTTTGACCTTTTTAAATATATTAAGATTTATTTTGTGCCCAAACATTTGGTCTGTTCTGGACAAGATTCCATGTGTATTAAGAAACATATGCATCCTGCTATTGTTGGGTGAAATGTTCTGCATGTGAGTACTAGATCATTAGTGTACAATGCTGTACAAGTCCTCTGTTTTCTTATTAATCTTCTAAGATTTCTTATTAATCTTCTATCTGTTTATTCTATTCATTATTAAAAGTGGGGTAATGAAATCTGCTATGATTATTGTAGAACTTGCTATTTTTCTCCTCAATTCTGTCAACATCATATATTTAGAAGCTCTGAGCTTTGGTGAATATATATTTATAATTGTTGTTCTTCTTGGTTAATTGGGCTTTTTCATTATATAGTGTCTTTGTCTCTTGTAAAATTTTTTGACTTTAACTCTGTTTTTTCTGATATTTTGGATATTAGCTTAGCTATTACTCTTCTCTTTTGGTTACTACCGGCATGTCGCTACATGCATGTCCTTTCATTTTCAACCTAAATATGTTACTAGATTTTAAGGATATGTCTCTTAAATAGCATAATTGTATTCTGTTGTTTGTATCATTTTTTCAAATTCATTTGTTTTCACTGGAAAGATTAAAACATTTACATTCAAGGTACATACACTTTGGGGAAGACATACTGTTGCCATTTTGTTATTTGTTTGTTTGTTTTATGTCTTGTAGCTTTTTTTGCCCCTCATTTTCTTACACACTGCCTTCCTTTGTGTTTAGTTGATTTTTGTGATGACACTTTTTTATCCCCTTGATAGTAGCATAGTCGTGATAATATTGTTTTTTATATTTGTCCATGTGTTTATCTTTACTGGGGAATTCTATATCTCTGTATAGCTTTGGGTTGCTCTCTAGCTTCTCTTTACTTCAACATGAAGTAGACCCTTTAATATGTCTCGTAGGACAGGCATAGCAGTAATAAACTCCTTCAGCTATTGTTTATCTAGGAATATCTTAATTTATCCCTTATTTTGAAAGGCATTTTTGTCATATATAGATTTTTTTTAATACTTTAAATTCACCATCCCTCTATGTTTCTTCTGGTGTTTGCGATTTCTGGCCTAAGTTGATGCTGGAATTACGTAGGGTTAATTAAAGTAATAATGAAAGTGTTCTGTGTATTTTTAGTATCCATCAGGGCTGGTCCTATTAAGTGGCTGACAAATTATATTATATAAAACTACTGAGGTATAGCTAAATGTTCAGGAATAAACCCAAGGAAATGAACACGTAAGTTATTTTCCCTGAAATTATGTATATTTTCAATAACCATGTTCAGGTAAAAAAAAACTTCTTTCTCCCACTGATTCCATAGGGACCTGTTTGTGTAAAACGGTATTCTTACTTATCCTCTGAGACTACCTTGTTAAAACCACTACATATAGAGCTATGTGTTTAGGTTGTTTCATGCCTCTGAATCAGTTTTTTAAGAGCTAATTAAAGTTTTTATGAAAGAGACGGTAGGAAAGAAACTAGCCTGAGTTACCTAAGGAAAACATTAAAAGACATGACCTTCCCTCCCCCAAAATATTTTTTTTCTTTTTCTAATGATCTACATTCAAGGAAAGAGATAAAAATCTTTGAGAAAAGGGAATACACATTTTGCATCACCCATGGATGAAATAAAGAAACAAGTAGATTCTAGGAAACACAGATCTTTTTTTAAAGGATATCATAGGAGTGAGAGTCATCTTTCATTCTAACTGTATTTCATACTGTATGAATCTATTGAAGTAACAAAAATAGAAATACCTTGTGACCTCTGGACTCAACTACAGGTTGGTATTTTCGGGGAGATGACATCACAAAGATTATATCATATTTATTTGTAGGGGAAAAAAGATGTTTCATAAACCAGTGTGTGCACTTTCCAATTCTGCTCTTGCAATACTCTGTATTGCATTTATGTAGCCAAAATATACTTACTGGCAACTAATAACTGACACCAGATTCAGCACTTTCAGTAAAACAGTGAATATGTTAGGCATACAGCTCTCTGGTGGCTACAAGTAGTGGAGCAGAAAGGAAAAACAAAGAAAATACTATGTAGAAATGATATTATGGAGAAATTACAATAAGATATAGACGAAAAACATGGCAAGTCACTAGATTGTTACCTGTAACATATTTGGCTCCGATTAAATTGATGCTAAAATAGGTGTATTTCAGAAAGCCCTCATAAAAGAAAATGAAGCAGAGAAGTTTACAACATTCTACAGATAATTGTTGATGTGCTTGATATTTCTGTACAAGGGGCAGAGGAAAAAGAGAAGACAGGAAGTTTATAATGGGTATAAATTGACCTTACCTCCTACAACATTCTTCCTTTTATTAAGTTCCATAAGCACTAGCTTTTTTGTCTCTTCCTGTTGGTTCCTACTTAGTAGCAATTTTTCTTGATGTTTTCACTACTAGAGTGTGTAATATCCCAGACTCTGAACAGTTTAAGCTCCATCATTCAAGCACTAACTTAACTGTGACATTCTCACTATCCAATTTGACACCCAGGCACATTAGTCACTATTCCTCATTTTATGGTGCTTGAGTTTTTCTTGCAGTATCACCTCCATGATCTGTCCATTTCTTTATTTCCAGTGCCTAGAATATGTTTTTTTATACAGTAAGTATACTCAGTAAATAATTGTTGAATTAAGTAGTAGTATGACTTTAGGTAGAATCTTTTACTGAAATGAATGGACAAAGTGATTTATAGGTACCTGTGATCATATGAAATGATAACAGCATTGTCTTTCATACTACTAAGTACAATAATTTGGCCTGTGGTTACTAATTTTACTATTCTAATACTAGTGAATTTAAATACCCCAGATGATAAATTTGAATTATTTTTAACAGCAGATAAAGTTCTTGATGAATGAATCTTCATATTTTTCAACATCTTGTTGTGATCATCTTGGCATAGCAATTTTATCTTCACAAGAATTGACAGAAAGCAAGGGGGAGAAAAGACATCATGCCTCCTCTCAACACTTCTCGTCCGTCTCCTGTCACCTTTTTGCTGATGGGCATCCCAGGACTGGAGCACCTGCATGTGTGGATTGGGATTCCATTCTGCTCTATGTATGTGGTGGCTGTCGTGGGGAATGTCACCATCCTGGCCGTGGTGAGGGCAGAACGCAGCCTCCACGAGCCCATGTTCCTCTTTCTGTGCATGCTCTCAGTCACTGACCTGGTCCTCTCCACATCCACATTGCCCCGCATGCTCTGCCTCTTCTGGCTCGGAGCCCATGACATCGCCTTTGATGCATGTCTGGCCCAAATGTTCTTCATCCACAGCTTTACTGCCATGGAGTCAGGCTTCTTCCTGGCCATGGCCATTGACCGCTATGTGGCCATCTGTGACCCACTGCGCCTCACCACCTTTCTTACTCACACTCGAATCAACATCATGGGTATCATCGTGGTGGTTCGGGGCATAGCTTTCTTTTCTCCACGCCCCATCCTGCTCAAGCAGCTGCCCTACTGCAGGACACGAATCATTGCCCACACCTACTGTGAGTTCATGGCTGTGGTGAAGCTGGCTTGTGCAGACACAGGGTCCACCAAGCGTTACAGCCTCAGTATGGCTTCCATCATCGGTTCCTGTGATGCTGTCCTCATTGCTGTATCCTATGCCTTCATCCTCTGCTCTGTGTTCCACCTGCCATCCCGAGAAGCTAGCTTTAAGGCTTTGGGCACGTGTGGCTCCCATGTCTGTGTCATTCTTGTTTTCTATTCCACAGCTGGATTTTCCATTTTCACTCACCGTTTTGGGAAAAATGTGCCAGCTCATGTTCATATTTTTATTGCAAATATGTACATTTTGGTGCCCCCTTTTCTCAACCCCATCGTGTATGGAGTAAGGACCAAGAAAATACGTGATCATGTTTTCAGAACACTAAGGATCAATGTTGCTTGATATTAGTTGATAAAAGAGATGACTTAAGACTAAGCATAAATACAACAGATGAAGTAGGGAAGATGACAAACAGCTTTCATTCCCATAACCTGAATGCATTCATAATCTTAAAGTTCTGTTATACTGGATGTTTGTAAATTTCAAAAAAAAAAAAGTTTAATTCAACAAGTTGTTTCAGCTTTTTCATTCAGTAAATACTGGAAAAAAGATTGTTAATTTTCCTCTGACTATGCGTCTTTTGAAGGATAATTATGAATAAAGAGTGAACAGTGCAGGAAGGGAAAAAATGATATGTAAACACTATAGAAGAAAAAAATAAGTTAAAAAGTTATCTAGAGCACTGAGTGCTAGATATTATACACCTGGTAGTTTGAAATCATTTCATTCATGTGTGTGGCTGTGATTTTATAGAACAGGTTACGAATATTGTGTCTGTTCTCTAATGGAATCAAACTGAAGGTTTTTTATTGATCCAGATAAAGGAATAGGAGTAATAATACAAAAATATTAAAAATTGGTAGAAGAAGTGAATCCTAAAAAATAATGAAACAAATATGAAGTCTCCCATTTTGGTGTTATGGTTGCTGTGTTTTCTAGAGAAAAGCTGATAGAAGTATATTTTATAAAATATGTCAATATTCTGGAGTCTATTGACTGCTAAAAATTGAGGTCATGAATTCCAAGTTTCATATTTAGTGGTCAAAACTAACACATTATAAGGCTATCGTATGCATTGGGTTTCATTTGATTAGGTGATCTACAAACCACTATGAACACACATGACCTGAAACATGGTATTAACAACAATGTTGAAACACTTCTTCTGTTTAATACCCCTGTACCAAAGACTTAGTTCCTTCTTTAGCTCATTGTCACTATTTTCCCAGGCCAGTTATCCATGTCTCATTTTTCTAATTCCTGTGGGTTGTGTTTCATGTTTTTAATTTGTAAAAATTGTTGTTTGGATACTTGTGCTCTTAAAATTTTCACCATCACTCCTTGCTTATTACTTAGTTATGCATGAAACTCACATGCATAACTAACCAAAAACTAACATCACTGAGTTCACCAATACTCAGTTCATAATTCAAATTTGGTGACAATGTAAAGTTTTCTATTTTGAAGAACTTGATGTATTTGTTTTACTTTCCTTAACTAAGAAATCAGGATCAGAAGCAATTTGAGTATATATTAATGAGTTTTATTTGGAAGTAGTCAATTTAAAATTCATGTAGAATATTAAATAGTGCACATCCTGTAGTAGAAAAGTCTCAACTAAGGGAAAATATTCAAATATCTTCCACGTATAAGTAAGGAAGGTATTTATTATGAGTGAAATCACTCAGAGAGGAATTGTATAACAAAAAGTACAGAGAATCTGAAAAATGATGAAATTTGGGCTACCATGCTCCATCCATCTTATTTAAGTGTCTCAGTTTTCATTTTTTTATTGAGACACAATTGATTATACATATCTGTGGGGTGCAAAGTTGAATATCAATACCTGGAGTCAATATGTGATGCTCAAATCAGTATACATTATACAATGTAATCATTTTTTTTATGGTGACTCTAAGGCATTGTTTGGAAGTTCAGAATACCATGTCCCTGGTCAATCTTGTTGCCTAAACAGCCTTCTAAGTTTTGACTTAGGTTTTCTTTCCTATTGTGTTTGCCCATTTGATTGTGGATATGGATTGTGGTCTTAGAAACATAGGAATTTTCATTCCAAAAAAAAAAAAAAAACTCTCTTTCCTTCTGAACAAAGTATGTAGGCAGAATGCTCCAGCAGTTTGAAAAGATAATTTTGTTTTGTTTTGTTTGTTTTTTTTTTTGGTTTGGGTTTGTTTTATCAAAAAAACTGGGCCACAATGGCGATGTTATTTCACCTTTTAATGCCTATTTTATTTAAAAGTTGATTGAAACTTAAATAAGTGTTTATAGTAATAGTAAATCAGCTGCAATTCCAAAGGACAGTTACATAGATTTATTTTGCAGCTTCTCTGAAACTACAGAAAGCTCTGCCTCTGTTTAAATTCCCTATGTATCTGCATGAGTCTGAGATAGTCTCTGTTTTCTCCTGTTCTGTTATTCCTACTAATAGTACCCCTTTCAATTTATTTTTCTACAAATTTGAAGTGTGTTACCTCTGTCAGTAGGACGTGGATGACTCAAGCTATATTTTTAAGTTTTTGAAGATTTTATTTATGTAGATATGTTTGTAATTTTATATGTATGTATGTATATATTTTTGAAATGTAATTAAATACAGTAAAATAAACAGATCTTAAATGTACAGTTGGTAAATTTAGACAAATGTGTAGGCTATGTACACAACCCAATCATACAGGACATTTTCTACAGCCCCCAGAAAGTTCACTCTGTTTTCTCTATTGAAAGTTCACTGATCGGTCGATGTGTATTTTATGAAATGGGAGTTGTTGTTTTTTTCATCAACTCATTCACAATTTTTGCTTACGCATTTACACGCAGTTTTAATTAAAAATAATATATTATTTTATTTATACCTATTTGATCTCCTTGTTGTAGTACTCTCTGAAAAATGTTAGATGCCTATTATACTAACCCTGAATTAATTAATCTTTCTTCATCCTCTCCCTCTACTGCACTTTTTCATCTCCTTTTATTTCTTACCCTCCTTTTTTTCATATTCTCATTCCCACCCTCACCTTTCTAATGCAGCTGATAAACAGCATTATTTAATTGGAAGGATTGCATTTTATTTCCTTTAATTAAACATGTCTTTTCATGATAGATACCCAGACTGAACACATATTCTTACATTTTGTAGAATTTAGACTCTGTGATATTCTCCTGAGTGGTTTAATAGCTTATTGGTTAAAGATCCAGGCTTTGTGTTAGACTGTCTGGGTTCAAGTCCAGGACTCTTCCCCTGGCTAGCTTTCTTGCTATTTAATTCTTCTGTGCCTCAGTTTCTCGCTATAGAGAAATGACTGATTAAAGAACCTTGCTCATGTGGTTGAGTGAGGATTAAATGAGATAGGTAAAAATCAGTGCAGTGGCTCAAAGAAAACACTCAATAATACTAATTATCTTATTCTTCCCCAATGACCATATTTTCTCCACTCTTCGCTTATTTAAAGTATTTTAGGAAATGACTGTTATGTCCTATTTAACATCTTTGCAACTCTGCAATATTTGAATTATTTTATGTTTATATAATGAAAATATTTGATTCCATTCTTTGTTAGCCACATATTTGCTAAATCTAGCAACTTCTCAATTTTACTTTTTATTTTTCTCTTGAGTATTTTGTTTAATACTATGCTATATAACGATGACATTATTAAATCATTCTGGAGAATGAGATAAAATTATAAAAGAGCAATAGAATAATGATAAGAAGTAATCACTTTTTATCTCTTCTGTTGGCACAACATAATCAAACAATAAATCTTGTGTTGACCCTGTTGACACAATAAATGAATAAATTCACTTATTTATTCATTTATAATGTTTCCAATAAATGTCTTTCAAATTGGATCAGATTGATTTGAACTAGTTTTCATAACTCTCAAATTTATTCTCTCAGCATTATTAGGTAATTTTTTTCTCTTCTTTGTTCCTTAAAAGAAATTTGCTTGAACAGACCCTAATTAAGTTGTTTAGAATCCTTTGATACCTGACGTATCTAGTAACTATTGAAACAAAATCACTCGCCTGAGAGTGCAAGGATCCTGCAGGTTTCTCTGATTGTTCAGGGCCTCCAGCTCCCTTGCTTCATCATGCAAACTAAGCAGATGAAGTAATCTTAGAATGTTACCGACTAAACTGTAACAACAGGTTATAATATGTTTGATGCCATTTTGATACTGTCACATATGCTTTTCTCTCTTCCTAAAATACCTTTTAGTGCTATGTATATATCACCATCATACCCTTTCAACTCCTGTTTATCTTTTATGATACAGCTCAGTGTCAACCTAAGGAAGTCTCCCCTGGTGTATCACTTTGTTAATTTCTGTATATTGATATGTTAATAACAAAGAAATTATATAACATTACCACTCATGTTTTTAGCCTTAATATCAAACATAATCAAAGGATATTTCACTAACTTATTTTTAATTGTGGCAAAATATACATAAAATAAAATTCATCATTTTAACCAGTTTATGCATACAGTTCAGTGGCATTAAAAAGATTCACATTGTTTTTCAACCATCACCACCATCCATCTCCAGAACTTTTTCATCTTCCCCAACTAAAACTCTGTATCTACTCAACACTAACTCCCCATGTTCCCCTTATCACCAGGAAACCACCACTCTACTTTCTGTCTCTATGAATCTGACTGCTCTAGGTACCTCATTCACGTGGAATTACATAATATTTGGGGGTTTTTGAATGGCTTATTTCACTTAGCATAATTTCCTCAAGGTCCATCCATATTGTAGCAGGTATCAGAATTTCCTTATTTTGGGGGTTGGATAATATTTCCATTGTACGTCTATATCACATTTTGCTTATTCATCTGTCAATGGACATGGTTTATTTCCACCTTTTGGCTATTGTGAATAAGGCTGATGTGAACATGGATATACAAATATTGTTTGAGTGCCTATTTTCACTTAATTTGGATACATACCTAGAAGTGGAATTACTGGAACAAATGGTAATTCTGCGATTAATTTTTCTAAGAACTGCCATATCTTCTTCCACAGAAGCTGCATCAGTTTACATTTTCAACAGCAATGCACTAGGATTCCAATTTTTCCACATCTATGCACTTTGTTTTACATATAACAGTCATACTAGTGGATATAATGAGGTATCTCATTGTGGTTTCTATTTGCATTTCCCGAACAAGTAGTGGTGTTGAACATCTTTCCATGTGCTTATTGGCCATCTGCATATATTCTTTGGAAATGTCTGTTCAAGCCCTTTGTGCATTTTTTAATCCAGTTTTGTTTTTGTTATTGTTGATTTTTAGGAGTTCTTTATATATTATTGATATT